TACTTGAGTAAAGAAGTTAAATCAGTACTTCCACTTTTACCAGAGTATTTTTTAACACAAGTATCTGTACTTTTACTCAAGTACGGAAAGTAAGTACTTTTGCCATCTCTGGTAACTTGAAATATGAAGTGAGGTATTTGTATGGCTGTAACTGTCACTATGACGTGGATTCTTGTAAAAACAAAGCTTTGCTACTGTCCTTTCATTCTCATCCAACCCCGGAGGAGGGAAATGTGTATAGGGAGATCGGAATGCTTTTGTAGGGGGAAACAGATTTGGAATGTCTGGATGTTAAACATCAAGGATATGATTTTAGTGGCTCACAAACCACTGTCTGTCAAATAGGGGAAGCAAAACTATGTCTTCTCTAGAGAGATATTTAATCTAGTTTGGAACAACACTGTCAAGCAGTGAAAGCCACAAAACCTGATGAAGGTAAGATAGTAATGGTGGGGTCTGCAGAGGAAAGGTTAGTGAGGCAATCGCTGTTAAGGAGACACTAGTGATAGAAAGGAAACTTTCCTGTAAAAATGTTTGTGGCGGTTAAGGAATGCTTTTTTAAGGAACTGCAAATAAGGTGAAAGCAGATATATGGGACAAAACCCTGCATCTGCCTTAAGAAAGCTCCAGGAAAACTTTAGAGAAGTGAGATATGACTTTTTTTGTACTGTTCAGCATTATGGCAGCAGAACTGAAATCTGAGTACCATGCTACACTGAACAGATTTTCCAAGGAAAGCTTTTTGGGCAAGTAACCCCACTTTACACAAAACTGCTTAATTAATTTATTTTTCTTATCAAACTTTACATGTGTCCAATAATAACGAACCTGACAGAGGGCCAGGGAAGAAAAAAAGAGCAAAGAAAAAGAACCTGAAAAGGAGAAAGAGATCATGTGACACAGCAAAACTATAAAACCAGTTTCTTTGTCTGTACAAAAGAAACAGTTTCTTGTGGGCAATCAAGATGGGGAACCTTTAGGATCTCAAATGAACACAGGGAAGACAAAGGAACAAAGAAGCAACAAAAGCAACAACACTTTTAGCAGGGACATTGGCGAGCTTCTCAGAAATATGCAGCAACTGTGCAGTAGCTTAAGGAGGCATGTGTCTAGGTAACTGATTGGGTGTGTGTGAGTGAGAATGAACACCCATGTGGTGACAGAAGGTAATTGCATGCATAGTTTCACTGACTGTAGCAACCAGAAAAGTCTCTATATCAAACAGAAGCCTAAGAAAGAAAAGGTTCACAGATGAGCTCTGAGCTGGTTTTCTTGCCAAAAGGGATAAAATGAGCACATACAGTTAATCACAATTAAAGCTGAGCCCATAGCTAGGGAGTGTTGGCCTTGTTGTTTATAGCAGTGCGGTCGTGCTCTGTGGAGGTTGCAAGTAACCAGTTCGATCCCCACAGCCTGCACACTGGACTCTCTGAGCAAGACCCTTAAAGGAATAGTACACCCAAAACATGATTAGCCTTCATTTTCTACTCACCCCCATGCTGAACAACACCCTGGAGTACTTTTTTGATATCTCAAATGCATCTGGAGAGCTGGGAGGCTTCTTGCTGTCTGCTGACATTCAAATAAT